AGACGTCCCTTTTAGAAGGCTGGGCTTATTCCCATGATGCTGGCTGAGATTTACAACCTCTGAAAACTCACTGGAGGATCAGCTATGAGTCAGTTCTGATTCAACAGCAATGTAAGAAGAATTTTGCAGCTGGGATTAATGATTTTGACATGAGGACAGCTTTTGCAACAATAACGTGAGTTTAACAAGGTCACAAAATACAAATATAGAAAACACACTGATATATCAGTTGGAGATTGATAATATTATGTATAATAGCATAAACATTAAATACTTAGGGATACATTTAACAAGGTAGTAAAATCTACAGTGTTGAGATAAACTGGTAGAGATCTAAGTAAACAGCATTTGTCCTTCTGTTATTTTTTTTTCAGAAGACAGTATCTTAAAATGTCAATTTTCTCTAAATTTGCCTGTTGTTATGAACTGTCGAGTTGGAACCAACTCACAGCTGGCCCTCTAGTGGTTTTTCAGACAGTAAATCACACCAGAGATTCCCCATCCTTCTCCAATGGAGAATCTGGTGGATTCGAACTGCGTGCCTTCTGGTTGGCAGTGTAGCTCCTTACCACTAGGCCACCAGAGCTTCCTAGGTTATTCACAGATTCCTCATAATCTCAGTAAAAATACCCAGTAAGCTTTCTTATCCAAATTGACTAGCTATGCTAAAGTCTGCATGAAAATGAATAGCATCTGTTGTTATTATGTGGCACTGAGTCAGAACTGACTCATAGCTGGATCTCCAGCTGGGCTTTTAGAGACTGTAAATTGCATGGGAGGAGATTGCTCCCTCAGGGCACCTCGTGGATCCAAACTGCCTGCCTTTGGGTTGGCAGCACAACTCCACCGAGCTCCCTGAAGAGCATCTAGAATATCCAAAATAATCTTCTTTTATTGGGTGGGGAACAAAGTTGGGACGATTTTCACATTTGACTTTAAAACTTATTATAAATGTATAATAATTAAGAAAATGTGGTTTTAGTATACTGGTATATGATATATGAGTAAATCAATTGAACAGAAGAATCTAGAATTAGACCCATATGTACAGGTTGTTGTTATGTGCTGTTGAGTTAGAATGGATTCGTAGTTGACCCTCCAGTGGGTTTTCACAGGCAGAAAATCGAACTGGGGGGAGGATGTCCATTTTTCTCTCATAAAACATATGAATGATTCAGTCAGCATGCCTTTGGGTTGGCAGGATGACTCCTTACCACTAGGCCATGAGAGCTCGCTACATGTATATAATCAATAGGATTTTTTTAAATGTGGCAAGGTAGTCCAGTGGGGAAAGGGTAATTTCTTCAACCAATGGTGCTCAGGCATAGGCTAGAAGCCTGGGGCTGGTGGTGTGGGAGAGAACAATCTTGAACTTTTATTTCCTTTATTAACTTGAAATGGACCTGAATATAAAAGCTAAAATTAGAAAACGTCTAGTTAAAGAAAGAAAACCAAAATAATATCTCAGAGACTATGGAGTAAAGCAAAGCTCTTAAATAGGACTAAAATGGTAGAAACTCTGCTAGTGAAGCCTGTAGGATACCATGTTGTGAACCAAAAAGGCTGTGTCTGCTGGTTCACATCCATCAGCTGCTCTGAGGAGCGGAGAAGGGCAGTCTCTTTTTGTTAGGACTGACAGCCTCAGATATAAAGAGGCATCACTATGAGTTGGAACCAAGGAGTAATAAAGAGTTTTTGAGGTGTGTTGTTGTTGTTGTTTTGGAAAAAAAAAGAGTCACCGGACTTTGTCAAAAGGAAAAACTTGTTGCTCTTCGTATTACACTGGTTAGAAAATTTTCTCCTGGTAGTCAGTGATACGGTCAGTATTTTTTGCCAACAATATAATTCAAATGAATACATTCTTTGGTCTTCCTTTTTCATTGTCCAGCTTTGGCATCCATATAAGGGAACTGAAGACTACAAACATGTCAGGCACACTTCAAGTGAAGTTTTTGCTTTTGAAGACTTTTTTTTAAGAGGTCTTTTGCAACAGAATTGCCAGTGCAATATACTGATTTTATGACTGTTCTTTTCATGGATACTTGATGCTGATCTAAGTGAACTTAAATTCTTGACAATTTCACATTTCATAGATTTAGCATAATGTTTATTGTCCCAGCTGTGAGTATTTTTGTCATCTTTATGTTAAGGTATTATCCATTTTGAATGCTGGTAGTTTTTGATCTTAGTAAGTGCTTCGAGTCTTTTTTAATTTTGGCAAGCAAGGCCATGGCACCTCAATAGCACAGGTTGTTAATAAGTCTTTCTCCAATCCTGATCTTGTGTTCTTCATATTATGTAGCCTCATGGATTTGCAGAATACAAAATGAGTAAGTACACGGAAAGGATACAAGCTGTGCACACCTTTTCAGATTTTAAATGATACAGCATTTCCATATCCTCCACTTGAATGACTGCCTCTTCATTTATGTACAGGTTCACAGAAGACTCAATAATTTTAAGATGAATTCTCCTAAAATGTATCTATAGTCAATGCAGTCTCAACCAACATCCCAACAAAAATGCTTTGATGTAAACTGACAAACTCATTCTAAACATTATAATGAAATATAAAAGAGTAAGAGTAGTCAAGTTGGTGTACAATAGAAAGCACAAAGAAGTACAATCAGTATCAGTAATCAATCAGATTAGTTATTACTCTACTCATATAAAGATTATGATTCCATCCATAGATATGTCTAAAAGAGATGTATCTTGGGTCCCAGGAAAAACACCAAAAGTTAAAGGACAGAAAACAAGCCATGTGAATAGTAACCAAAAGAGAACAGAAGTAGCTATACTGATAGACAAAACAGATTTTAAGTAAAAATTTCCAGTAAGAGGCAAAGGAGGCCACTATAAGAAGATCAGTACTGCAAGAGATTATATAGCAATTATATATGTATCTAACATCAAAGCCCCAAAATATATAAAAGAAGCCTTTTTTGAACTAAAAGGCATAAACGAGACAACTCTATAATAATAGCTGGGGTTATCTATATGTGACTTTCAATAATAGGCTTTACTTTCAGTGTCAGACAGAACATCTAGAAAGAAGGAAATAAGACTGGAACAATACTATAAAACAACTAGACTTTATAGAACTCTCCACCCTACACCTAAGCAATATACATTCTTATCCACTGCACATGAATAATTTACCAGGAAAGATCACATGCTAGGTCACAAAACAAGTCTCGCTGATTTTTAAAAGAATGTAATCATACAAAGTTTCTTTCCAACCATAAGTGAATCAAACTAGGAGTTAATGGCAAGAGTAAAACTAGAAAATGCACATGTCTGTGGACATAATACGCTCACTAATCAACAATCAGTGGGGCAAAGGAGAAACCAAAAAGTTAATTTAAAAAATGCTTAGAGTCAAATGAAAATGAAAACACATTACAAAAACCTATAGGATGCAGCAAAAGCAGTGTTCAGAGTAAAATTTATAGTAATAAATGCCTACATTAAAAAGACTTTAAAAAAAAAGGAAGACTTCAGCTCAATAGCCTAGCTTTACATCATGCTGAGAAAAGTGGAGGGTCAGAGAAAGAAGATGACCCCCAACCAGATGACTGACCCTGACTATAACCACAGGAATGAGCATTTCAGAGATGATGAGGATGGCTGCAGGATAAGGCGAGGTTCAGATCAGCTGTTCACGGGATCGTTACTCACAGCACCCAACAGGAGCAACTTGAGGAATTAGGTCAAGAATAACTAAGTGTAAAGCTACCAGAAAAAAAGAAATCACAAAGATCAGATAGAAATAATTACGATAGGGAATGGAAAAATAATAAAATTAACAAATCAAGCCAGCTCTTAAAAAAATCAAGACCAAAAGACATGATGAACAAAGTGAAAAATAAGACATTATGATAAATCTAATGGAAAGTTATTACAAATCTACAATAATTATGACAGTGTGGCACTGAAAAAAAATTTAAAAACATAAAAAATAATGTCCAGAAACAAACCAATACATATCTGAGTTATGAGAAAAGTGGCACTAAGTTGGGCTTTTAAGTAAAGATTTCTGAACAACTGGATAGTTAGGTAGAAATTTGATCTCCCCTCCTCAATCCCTGGGAGATTACAGATCTAAATGGGAAAGGCAAAAATCATAAAGCTTCTAGAAGATAATTAAAATATTTTTATAACTGTGAATGCAGGACTAAGAAGCAAATAAGAAAAAAGATTGGGAAAAAAATGAAAAAAAAAAAAGATTGGTAGTTTGGGCTAGAGTAAAATGAAGAACTTCTGTCAGTCAAAAGATAATACTGAAGATACTGAGAGAAGATACTTCCAATACATACAGCGAAGAAAGTGCACCTGAATAGATTAAAAGTAGACTCCCTAGAAAAATTGGCAATAGAATTAAAAAACTAGATCCTAAAAGATGTTGGTAGCCAATAAACATGAACAGCAGCCATGTTTCAAATTGCCTCTTAGTAATAGTATATGTCATTAGTCTCACTGATTTTAGTATTTTAGTTTTAAGGCAATTATTTTTAAACAACTTTAATGTAATATTAAACAATACGATACAGTCTAAGAAATTCATTAACTGTAGTAGATCCAAATTTTATTGCAGCTGAAAAATGATGTACTTTTTGAGACATAATGTCTCTCTCTCCTTTGCTAAGATAATATCATCAAATAGTATCTCTAGATAGTTATATTTTATATCCCCTCTGGAACAAGAGTGATCACTTAAAGGGCTAGAATGGCTTCTGCTTTCAATTATCAAAATACACAGTTATTCTCAATTCATCAGGTTATTGAAATCTGTTTGAAAAAGGGATTTCCTTGGCAAAACAAAATAGAATCTGTACTTCATCAAATCACACAGGGAAATAAATGAAAGCATAAATGCAACTGAATAAATCTTTATTAAAGTTCCCACTGAGTGCATGAATTTAGGCTATATAACATACATAGAAAAGTGTGATTTCAAATAGGCCCTTTTTAAAAAAGAAAATGAAAACTTCTCTATGTATTTCAAGTGAATAATGTGAGGCTCAGTTTGATGTTATTATATATATAGTATTAATACAAGAAATGAGAAAATAGAAACATTTTCCCATCCACTAAAGAGGGCACCAAGATAAACTAGCTTATTGGTGTAACAACAGCTGATCAAAAAGGCTAGAGAATTTGGAAGAAAAACATGTACTTGGAAGCACTATCCTCTGAGGTTTCATTCACCTGAAGACAGAAAAATGCTCAAGAAATTAACTGGCTCAGAGTTATAATGAAAAATTGAGGGAAGTAAGTCACAGCTTGGGGGAAAAAATTCCAAGAGTAGAAGACACGAATAATTCAGAAGTGTCCCTAGAGTTGTGACAGCACTCTGAGCTACCCGAGGGGCCTAGAAGCTCATGGCTCCCTGGATAGAAGTGCTTTAAAGTGGTAGGTTCTCCAGTGCGCCAACTGTATTTTCAAGTATAATTCTGGTATTTGTACCTAGTAATACAGAAGAAAAAAGCAGCAAGGAGAGAGTATCAAGTATATAGGACATAAGATGACTTGGCAGTCCTAGAATTCCCAGTTCCAGTCTCTTTCTTCAGGAAAAACACATCCCGGCTCAGTCCAAGGCAACACTGGAGGCACTGCTACCGATGGCTTGTTATAAGCAGGAGGCAGCAGTGAAAGTATCGAATCCTGACTCTGGTCTTTCATCTGTGAAAGAAACTCAAAATGAGGCTATGTGCACATAAGTTCAGTACAGTTGGGTTTTTTTTCAGGTATAAATAATGTTTAAAGTAAATCATGTTTAAAATGCCTTAAGCTGTTATCCAGAAAAATCTCAAAACTATGGTCATCTAAAACAGGAAGAGGTTAAGTCAGATAAGGTGATTTCTACCAGACTTACAGCCTTTTATCATCATTGGCCAATATAGAAAATTCCAATATATCTAAGATTAATCAAAATACAGTGAGGATACTGCAGAGTTTTTTTAAAATACTTTGTTTTACAGAATGGAAATATTTTAGTACGTTTAAAATTGAACAAACTACCAAAAAAGTTTTGCTTTAAACTTAATTTTGCAAGAAAGTTGTGATACTCGCTCCTCACTTATTGGTATGGTTAGGTTTCAAAGACCAAGTGATCCATGTGAAAATCAGTGATTTATGAATGAAAAAGGACAAATGACCACATCAGATCACAGACTATGTAACTGCTTACTTACACAACTGCCAAATTATATCACTACATGTCAAATTTCATTATACAATTGCCAATTTTCATTAACTCATAAGTGCCTAACCACTGAGACTCACAGCTCAGCCAAGACGACACACAGAGCATAAAAGCCAGAGCTGCTCTTGCCTCACAGCTCAGTATCTGTTATTGCCAGATAAACATTATTAATGTGCAAGAGAATCAGTCAAATAGATTTTTTTTACTATGGTTCTAAATGCAAGAAGTCCGATAAGTGGACAGTTATTAAAGGAGGAGTTAGTATATCAAGAATCTTTTTTTTTTTAGTATATCAAGAATCTTGATAATTAGATGAGTTCAGGAAGCCAATATAACTAGGTGATTTTTTAAAATAGTATTTTAAAACATTTAGAAAACAGAAGACAGATTGGTTTACCTGTTTAAAGAATACATGGGATAATAAACTACTTGCTGATGGCCTGAAATTAAAATGAAAAGCATATTTGTACATGTTTGTATATATATGTATACACACACACACACACACACACACACACACACACGACTATGACTCATAGAGACACTATGCACAGTAGCTCTGAACCTTGCTCTATTATGAGCAGTCTCACTGGCTCTGATACACCTACCCTTGTTACCCAGTTATTGTGTCAGTCCGTCTCATCTGAGGTCTTTCTTGCCCTATCCCTCAACTCTTCTAAGCATGATACTCCATCTGACATACTTTGGGCATGTATGTAGCCAGGAGAGAAGGGTATCATATTAGAATATAGTTATTAAATGTCAAACTATTAGAGAATCAACTTTATAGCTATAAAGCCCAGTATTAAAACAAAAAAGAATATGTCAGGAGGCTCAAGTTTCAACTTCAATGCATAGAATTAAATCAGAAAGTATTCTTCAATTAATCCATTACTTATTTTACTTGCTGCAGATGAGTCATTTCCAACTCACAGTGACCCATTATAACGCTCAAAGTCTGCAAACTGATAGAAGCTGCCCATCTTTCTCCTGCAGAGTCATCAGTGGATTCAAACTAAAGATTATGTGCAGCCTCCCTATGTTAGAGAAAACCTTTTAGGTCCACACCACCAGAGCTTCCCTAATTAATCCATACTCAAACATTTATTGGGCACTTATGGTTTATAAGAAACTGTGTTAAACACTAAGAGGCAACTAAAGGAAAAGCGAGACTTGCTGCATTGGGATAATCTACAGAGTACTAAAGAGCAACGATGTCAGTCTAGAGACTTATCTAGGCCGTGGTCTTCACAATTACTTGCTATGCATCACAGAGCTGGACAATGACCAAAGATGACAGAAGATCTGATGCCTTTGAGTTGTGATCCTAGAGAAGAATATATCGCATCGATGGTCAAGAGACCTAACAGGTATGTCCCAGAGAGGGTGAAACCAAGCTGCTCCCTGGAGCAAGGATGAGGCTCCATCTGACATACTTTGGGCATGTAGCCAGGAGAGAAGGGTATCATGCTTAGAAGGGTTGAGGGACAGGGCAAGAAAGAAAGACCTCAGATGAGATGGACTGACACAATAACTGGGGTAACGAGAGTAGGTGTATCAGAGCCGTGAGACTGGCTCATGATAGAGCAAGGTTCAGAGCTATTGTGCATAGTGTCACTATGGGTCATAGTCGAGTCAATGGCACCTAACAACAAAACTACTGTATAACTAAGTCAATGCTGTCAATTTGGAACCAACTCATAGCTGACCCTCCAATGGGTTTTCAGAGGCTTTAAATCACATAGGAGGAGACTGCCCTTCTTTCTTCTGCAGAGTAGATGATTGGATTAGAACTGCCTGTCTTTGGGTTGGCAGCACAACTCTTCACCCACTAGGCTGCCAGAGCTCACTACAGTGATTTATATTATTATAGTAGCAGAAATTTATATTTTTACACTGCTTAGAAGTTTCTACATGTTTTAGAATAATATCATAATGCCCAGTAAGATTTAAGAAGCAAGTGGGATAAATGTGATTGGGCCATGTGCACTTCCTGTCGCCTTAACGAAAAGGTTTTATAAAATAGAGAACATATATGTTTTGTGCTATTTAAAGGCAAAACTTTACCTTTTCTCAGGATCCTGTTGCAAACAGAGTTGCACCAAGCTAAAGAAGGCAGGAGAGAAAGTTTTTGAAGATGGCGTCTGCAGCCTGTCACTGTTCACTGTGCGGGTGCCACTGGACACCAGCACGCTTTCTCCAATCCCAGAGTCTATACCTGATCTGGAATTTTTCATTCTGGATTCTGATTGAGGAAAAATATTGAGATCCAATGGGCTATAAGGAGGACCTTTCAATTTCTGTAACAGCATCTATAAGAAAGAAAAAAAAATTATCTTAAGTGCTTTCAAGACAAAATATAAAAACAGCAAAGACTCCAAGAGTCTATAGCAGAAATTACCTGGAGTGAAAGGAATTTTAGAAAAGAATAAGTAGTTCGGGGATTTTCGTAGCTGCTATGAATTGAGTTGTATTCTCCAAAAAGGTACAGGGTAGTTGGAAACCACAGCCCCTATAAACGTTTGGGAAGCAAGTAGTTAAAGAGATTTTCAGGTAACATGAGGCTTTACTGGAGTGTAGTGGGCTCTAACTGAATTTCAGTGCTGCCCTTTTGAAAGGGAATAATAAACACATGAAGATAACACAGAGGAGAAGAAAATGCCATATGACCTGTAGCTTCAAGCCAAAGAATGCTTGTAGTTACTAGAAACTAGAAGCGGGGCATGCAGGAGTTTCTCTCAAAGCCTCAGAAGGAATCAACACAGCCAACACCTTGAGTTCAGACTCCCAGACTCAAGAACTTATCAGATCATTAATTCTGATTCATTTAGAAGCTATCCAGTTTCTGGCATTTTGTTCCAGCAGCTTTAGGAAACTAATACAGTAGCATTTACCTGAGTTCTGTGCATGTCCTGGAAAGGTACCTGCCCACTGGCTAATTCACACGCTGTAATCCCAACACTATAAATATCTGACTTCACATTATATCCATGTAAATCCTGAAAAGAAACACAATTAATTTGAAGTCCTTTAGTGTAAATAACTCTATACAAACGTTTAAAACATGTACTCTTTTGATAAATGATGGTGAACAACAAAGGGTAAAAAAAGTCCATAAGAGAAGAATCAAGATTTGCCATATATGACAAATATTTTTAAAATCCTAACATAGTGCTTTTGACAAGTAAGAGAAAAATGTCTCACAACAGGTCATTCACCAATCTAAGTCTAAGGACACTACTGTCCTTTAGTCAAACTGAGAAGACACTTGAGACACAAAGACAACCCAATAACGGCCACATCTGACCTGTCTCAGTAGTTCTGGACTCAGCCACGGCTGCACTGACGTGCTGAACTGTGGGAAATCATACACAGCCCTATGCCTCTGTCCATGCTTAACCAAACTATGCAGATGGGACAGGCCAGAGAGGGTCACTAGGCCATCACCAGAAATGAGGATATGGCTGGCTTTAATACTCCTAGAACAAAAAGAAACAATCCTAAATACTAGGAAATTGGCCAATGGTGAAAGAATAAAAATGTAGTCTGAACAAATACGTGTATACTCCTGGAAATGAAATGTTCTTTTTAAAATAGCAGCATACTGCTATATGTGTGGGAAATACCAGGGAATTAAGAAATTCATTCAGCTAAATTAATATACCATGAGAACCTGGAAAAATATAACTGAAGGATACAGGTTAGAATTGATAATATTGTTCCAAATAAGAAACAGAACCAATTATTAATCATACTATTTTAGGACAATCCTACAGGATATCTAAAGAGAAATAAAATTTACTTATGATAACGAATATTTAAAGTATAAGTTCATAACTAAAAGTTAAATGCAACAATGTCCAATAAAAGACAGTCTGTCTAGCATCATTTATAGAAGAGATTTTATATAAAGAATATATTTTGTCAAGCAAATGACAAAAGAGCTTTATTTTATCTAAAACACTGAACCTGGAATCTAACAGTGCTATGGCCACTAGTCTGGGAAACTATAATAAAAAACTGATTAGAACACAGTTTATCAGAAATACTCTGTTAACTAGAATGCTACTAAAAATAACAAAAGGTTTAACAACCAATAACATAGCAAGTTTACTTAAAAGGAACTTAATTAAGCCACAAAAGAGTTCCGTGTATCTTAAGGCAGCTTGTTTTTTAACTTTTAGTCAATTACTTCGACATAATCATTTGATAAAGAAAATTTATATTTCTATTAAATATAAATGCAATTAATTAAAAATTTGTACTTAGTATAATCTCAAGGTACTTTAAATCTCAATATTTAAATAAAGATCGAATTACAATTTATACTTAAAAATATAATGAAAATCTCTTGAAATCAGATAAATGAGACTTTTTTTTTTATTTGCTAACTAGGATCTCATTTCTTACAGTCTCTACCCTGAAGAGGTTATTGCATTTCATTCATCAGACTGAAGGCATGTTCCTGAGGGCAGGCACTACATCCAGCACCTAGCACAGTGCATGGCCTAGAGGAGATATTCTGAATCTTTCTGGTGAATGAATGTGAAACATAAGCAACCATAGCACTTACTGGTCTCTTCCCACCTCAGTCTTCATTTCTGAGTTAGCTATCCTTCCTCTCTGTGAATCTGCTATCCTTCTTCCCTGTGTCTCCCTAAAAAAGTCTAAAAGGATTTCTCCTTCTAAATATCTTTCATTCTGTAAAATACAAATAAGTTAATACCTGTGAATATAGCCATTTTGATGGAGATAGTTCAACCCCCTCACTGCTCCAAAGAGAATGTTTCTTACTAAAGTTTCACTCATCCCTTCAGGAAAGTAAGTCTTCAAGAGGTGACTTGCTGATCCTGAAAAAAATGCTCAAATCTTTAGATGAACATAACAGACTCATTGGATGAACAGAACAAAAAGTAAGTTTTGCTTCCACTATGGTTTAGATGTTCTTTACAACTATAAACACACCAACCCCTGCTACTTTTTGAGATATAATTACTTACACAAAGGCAATTTCCTTCATGAACCTTTAAATTTTTATTATTTTTCTTTCTTTCTTTTTTTATTTTTTATTTATTTATTTTTTCTTTCTTTATTTGGTGTACTGTCAAATTGGATCCAACTGGCACAGGAGGAGTTTGCCCCTCCTCTAGCAAAGCATCTGGTGGATTAGAACCGTGCACCTTTGGAATTGCAGTACAGCTTATTGCCACGAGGCCACAAGAGTTCCCTTAAAAAAAATTTTTTTCCCTAATGCAGCCTTAGAGATTTTAGTAAAGAGAGTTATCAATTGTTAATATTACTTGAAAAAAATACAGCTTATGTGTATCTTTAATTCAGAGTCAATTAATAAAATCCATTTTAAACATCAGAGGTCTAAAATCCTTTAAGTTATTCAGTCTATAAATTTACTGATCACCATTTTGTGCTCAGGATTATGCAACACAAGCACTAGTGGAACCAAATATATACATGATTCCGGCCCTCAAAACCAAGGCCACTAAGGGGGAGGACATAGATGTTTCAATGCAGTAAAATGAATTTATAATACACTTAAACAGAGACTGAGATGGTGTGTGTAGGAGGGGGAAACTACCATTGCCTGAAAAATAAAAGTAGCTTTCAACTGAGACAGAGGATGGAAACGAAAATGTGTAGAGATAGCTTCTGGGGGTGTGGAGAGCAGCAGCGATTTCCTTGGTCAACATACGCATCCTATTTTTGGCAAAGATTAACAATCAACATGATCCAGATATATAATATGACATAAAGAATTGGCTATTATATTTAAAATGAAAAACAATAAAATATAAATTTACAAGCTCACCCTTTTAAGCTATCTAGGCTAAAAATGAGTTATCTAAACACAACATTCTTACCATACGCCATAAATGGAGAAATAACCCAAAGCCAGCTGCCAACAGTGAAAACTGTCCAGTAAGTTGTAATATTGGGATGCCGGAAGAAGTGAGATAGAATCACTGATTTCTAAGGTAGACACAGAAGAGATGAGGCATTTTAAAAACAAACATATTTTCCTCATTTGTGATAAAAGTAATAGCAACAGTGGTAGCTAGTAACTAAGCCCTGTCTTCATGTTTAATTTCTTTAAATCTCACAAGAACGATGAGGCTTCGCCTCACATACTTTGGGCTAGGAGGGACATTTCTTGGAGGGTGACATGATGTTTGAAACGGTGGAAGCTCAGCGAAGGAGAGAAAGACCCTCAACCAGGTGGATTGACACAGTGACTGCCACAATGGGCTCTGACGGGTCAGGAAGTGTGAGGATGGCATCGAATAGTACAGGGTTCAGATCGGTTGTTCACAGGGTCTCTTTGAGTCATACTTGACTCAATGGCACCTAACAACAACAACAACAACAACAACATACATGGTATTATTTATGACCATGTCACAAAATTGGAAACTTACAAGTATGTTAGAACACTTCTCTAAGAGCCTGGACTTAAGAAGTGGAGAAGTGGGCTGTGAACTTTGATTCCAAAGGTCATACTCTTTGAGTATGTTTACACTATAGATAAATTTAAAAATAGATAAAAACAAAGATAAAAGTCATTTCTAATAGGGATAAACACTGTTACATCACAGAGAACCTCTGTTAAAATTCTGGTATTGTTCATTCTAATCTCTCTTCTTCATATATACGTGTGCACAAATAAGTATTCACAAATATGCACAATATTTCTCTATTATTAATAAAGGATTAGTGAAACTGAAAATAGTATTCTTACAATGCAATTCTAGGAAAATTTATCCATTTGGAAGTTAATTTTGTTTAACTGGATGAAAAAACTACTTGCTTTTCCCCCCTACTTATCCAATATGACCATTTGTGATTGTATTGACTTGAGGTGTTGGGAATATCCAGACTAGCATTCTGAAAACGATATTCATTTGATTAATCAAACTCAAATCAAACTCACTGCCATCAAGTCAGTTCTAACTCCCAGCAGTCCTCGATCAGGTTTTTGAGGCCACACGTTCTTCCGGGAGGCGACTGCCCATTTCCACCACAGAGTAGCTGGTGGATCTGAACTGCTGACCTTTAGGTTAGCAGCTCTAAATGCAATGCATTATGCACCAGGGCTCCTTAGTTATCAAGTAATTAAACTCATCGCGCCAAGTCAGAACTGACTCATAGCTGACTCTCCATCAGATTTCTGAGACTGTAAATAGCATAGGAAAAGATGCCTATCTTTCTCCTTCTGGATGTGAACCACCAGAGATACCTCATTTGGGTTAACAGCAAAACATTCTGTAAACTAGGCCAGCAGAGCTCCTTTACTGATTAAATGTTGCTGCTGTTGTTATGTTAACTCTCCAGTGCGCTTTCCGAGGCTGTAAACTGCATGAGAGGGAATGCCCATCTTTCTCATGCGCAGCAGCTGGAATTCCAACACAGCTTTTTAAATTTTTATTTACTTTTCATTTTACATTGGTTCACATACAATGTTGTGCTTCACCCTATCTTTCATTTGCATTGTGTTTCATAAAGGCATTCCTATTATGTGCCATAAAATCATTCACCATTATACTATGTTCATCATTTTACACTGTCTTTCTAGATCCCTGCTGGATCTTTCCCACTTCCCTTACCACCACCCCCCTACCAAATTGTGCAACCCTTTTATTTCCCTCCATGCCCACCCTTCCCCTCTGTTCCCATCCCGTCCCTTCCTTGGGTCCCATACTTGTTTTACTTATTATCCTTCTGTTTTTATATTAAAGTCCTATGCAGTATTTATCCTCATGAGATTGAGTTTCTTCACCATAATGCCCTTTAGTCTCTCCCAAGTTATGTAATAATTTTCAAAATCATTGCTCCTGAGCTATTCTGGTTTTTAACCAGAGCTCTCTAGTTATTAAATGTGTTGTTGTTGTTTACCACTGAGTTGGAACCAACCCATAGCTGACCCTCCGGAAGGTTTTCAGGCACAGTTAATCACACAGGAGGAGATTGCCCATCCTTCTCCAGTTGGTGGACTCAAACTGTGTGCCTTCAGAATTGCAGTACAGCTTCTTGCTACTAAGCCACCAGAGCTCCTAAGTAGGCACCTAAAATTTAGTACACTTGTTGTTTCATTTAATAGATCCAAATTTTCTTTCTGATTCTGTAATTGCAGGTTAATTAGGAGGAAGGAATAGACATTTTGGTAATGGAAAGGATTATGAATTCAGGGGAAACATTTTTAAAGATGTCATTTCTTCAAACAGATGTTACATTAAATAAATACACCATTTTCTTTCTATCTTTTGTATTGTTACCTGTAGAGCTTTTAGACGTTCTTCTGTGCAATCTTCCAGATTTGTAATTTTTACAGTCACCAGTGTTCCTGTAGGAGTATGCCTTGCAAGATGGATAGAAGTCAAGTTGTCAAATCCTCTTCCTGTAAGCAGGACATAAAACTCCTGTTAGCAAGCATAAACAAAAGTACTAATCATTTAGACTTGATCAATATTAAAGACTTCTGCTTTTTAAAAGACATTAAGAAAATAAAAATGCAAGCCACCTACTGGGGAAAAAAATTCCTAATACATTTGACAAAAAACTTCCATATAAAATATACAAAGAACTCTTAAATCTATAATAAGATAACAATTATCTTCAACAAAATAATTGAAAAAATAGGCTGAAGACTGAACACAATCCACAAAAGAAGAGATAGGACTAACCATTAAGTGTATGAAAAAGATCATCAACTATACAGAGAAATACAAGTAAAAGAAAAGTGAGTTATTACTACACTCCTATTTTAATGACTACAGCAGTGACTTGATAAACAAATTGTGATACACTCAAACAGTGGAATACTACTTGGCAACCCACTACTACCCTCCTCCTAGTTCCTGACAACCACTGATCTGATTTTTGTCCTTTGAACTTTGCCTGTGTATTGTATGTTGTTGTTGTTGATTGCCTTCAAGTTGAGCACGACTCACTGAGACCCTATGAACAAAAGGCCTGAAGCCCCTCAACAACTATCAACATTTATCAAAGTTCACAGTGTCTGGTGTAATATATATCAGGTCATTAAAAAAATCCTTTGTTTCTGGTCTCTCACTATGTGTAATGCTTTCAATACTCATCTATGTTGCATATATCCGTAGTTTACTGTTAGTGCTGAATAGCAATCCATTGTATGGATACACAACTTAATCATTCACAAGGTGAGGGACACTTAAGTTTTTTTTTCAGTTTTGATGACCATAAACAAAGCCACCATTAACATGCCCATATAAGGCTTTACATAAATGTGTACATTTTCTTATATGTGTAAGGAAAACCTAATATGATATTACTTCATCATATGGCAAATGTACATTTAATCTTTTAAGAAGTTGCTAAACTATTTTTCAAAGTGGCTAAGGTGAGCTGTATTTCCACAGACAATGTATGGGAGTTGCAACTACTCAATAAACTTCGAAGCATTAAAAATGGTCCGTTTTTAAAATTCAAAATACTAGAGTTCTAGAGTGTTTTGAACACCAATTAGTATTGTTGTTGTTAGGTGTTCCTGAGCCTTCTCTGAGTCAGTGAACTTATGTGGAGCAGCACAAAACACTACCTCATCCTGCGCCATCCTCACCCCTGCTGGAGTTCTTGGAGCTATTGCAGCCACTGGGTCAGCCCATCTCATTGAGGGTCCCCTTTTGTGATGACATTCCTCTGTCAAACATGGTGTCCTTCTCCAGGGATTGGCTCCTCCTAGTAACATGGCCAAAGGAAGCGAAACGAAGTCACACCATCCGGCCTCTGTGGAACATTCTGGAGTTGCATTTTGTCCCAAATAGATTTGTTTGTTCTCTTTCAGTCAATGATATATTCAATCTTCTTCACCAAAACCACAATTCAAAGGCATTCATTCTTCTAAAGTCTTTCTTATTCATTGCCCATTTTTCACATGCATCTGGGGATTAAAACTACCCTGAACCAGTTAATAGCCACCTGTTGTTAAGTGCCATCAAGTCAACAACTCACAGAGGCCCTATGAAAAACAGATCTGAACCCATCTCAATGAGGGTCGTCCTCTCTTTCACTGACTCTTCATCTTTGAAAGCATGGTGTGCCTTTCCAAGGAAGAGCCTGTTCTAGGGACATGCCTGAAGTATGTAAGACAGTGCAAGAGAGGAAGACTGTGGTTGAGATGGAATGACACAGTGGGTAATAAGTTAGGTGTGTCGAAGATAGTGAGACTGTCTCAGGATAGGACAGGGTCCAGGGCTACTGTGCATCAGATCATTATGAGCTGCCGGCAACTTGATAGCACATAACAACAAAAGAGCAATAAGATTAATGTTAGGATGAGTAGAAAGTGGTGGGGAGTCGGGGGGACATGTGTGACCTCATGGGAATTGGTTTTGAGCTGTGGATGTCTTTGCATAATCAATAAAATATAGACAGACATTCTTCTGGTATTCTCTGCTTTCAGTCAGGATCCATTTGACAGCAGCAATGACATCCCTGGTGCCATGGCCTCTTCTAAATTCAGCCTGAACTTCTGGCAGTTCTCTCTCGATGTACTGTTCTAGCCTTCTTTGGATGACCTTCAGTAGTATTTTGCTTGCATGTGATATTAATGATACTGTTTGATAATTTCCCATTCTGTTGGATCACCTTTCTTGGGAATGGGAACAAATATGGATCTTTTCCAGTCAGTCAGCCAAGCAGTTATTCTTCAAATTTCCTGGCATACATTGGTGAAAATATCCAGGACTGTATCTGTTAGTTGAAACATGTCAACTGGTATCCCAGTGATTCCTGGGAACTAGCTTAAATGCCTTTCTTCATTATCAGTGGCTCTTGTTCACATGGTACTTATGTCTTGTTTTGTTTAAAAATTGGTTTTAGTTGACATTTACAGAAAGGATGGATGTTCATTCATTGATTCGTCTCAATGTTGAGATACACAAATGCTATTTCCTTACCATACCCAACCAAATTCAGCCAGTTTTATCCGTGAAATGAAATTAATTTTAAATCCACCCCATCCCTTTTGATGTCAGCTCCACTGCCTTAGAAGGTTAGAAGATAACCTGAACTTCTAACTACACTATATGAAGTCTTTCACAGCCTCCTTTCCATATTTGTCTCCAACTAATGGCCACTCCCTTCCTGTTCCCACCTCAGGTCATAGGAAGTATGTAGTATTCCTTCTCTAAACAGCCATCCTTAATCTAATGATGTAATTTTTTTTAAACTTGTGTTTTGGGCTGATACTATCTCAGAGATGGTCAGGATGGCACAAGATAGGGCAAGGTACAGATCTATTGTTCAAAGGTTGCTGTGAGTTGCAGTCAACTGGATGGCACATAACAAGTATCTGAAACTCCCTTCTAAGTGTGAGGAGTTTACCGCTCTATGGCATTAGAGAAAAACACCAGATTCTTGTTCTTCCTGGCTGGCAAATAAGTTAAGTTTGCCCAAAAGGAGGATGGACTGAGTGATATTAAGCGGCAGTGGCAGCGAAGTGTCTGGTGGTAGGAGTATTCTTCTAGGCTGTTCCTATGCTATGGCCCTGATGGTGCTTCTGAGCCACTCCACCTCTTTCGTCTTCTAAGGCTCTAGCTAAAACTTCTCAGAGATAGCAATATTATTTAAAAAAAAATTCTACTTAACTTAGCAAGGTAAGTTATCATCTGTTATCATCTATACTCTGGCTAGAATGCCTAACAAACTTCTTGTTTTTCAGAATCCAAGTCCTTTCTGCCCTCTTTCCTGACTTGCAGAGTGGAGAGGGATGCTCTTATCTTCTCTATTCCCGTAACACTCAGCACACATTTCTACTCTCACACTCATTAATGTATGCTGTTGTGTGCCATCAAGTCAGAACTGACCCATAGCTTACCCCCATGCAGGTTTTCAGAGGCAGTAAATAACACCAGAAGAGACTGCTCATCTTTCTCCCATGGAGTAGCTGGTAGATTCGAACCACATGCCCTCAGGATTGCAGTATAGCTTCTTACTACTACGACACCAGAGATCCCTCATTAGTGCAGAACAAAGCGATTTATGTGTTCATGTCTGCAAAGATGTGAACTCCATAGGTATTTTAAATGTCCTTCTATCACTAATGCCTAATACAGTGCTGAGCTTTTAGAGTTTAAGAGATTTTTCTGAGTATCCAGAGCAAACATTTGTTTTCTTATATGTAAAGTTACAATAAGTAATCTGTAATCTTAACGGTTCCTTAAAACCTGCTGGAGGGTCAGCTATGGGTCGGTTCTGACTTGATGGTACATAACAACAACAAAAACAACAACAACAACTGTCCCAAAGTCATAAGGCTTTCTACTACAAGCCAGATTTAAATTAAAAAGTAATTTAGTTATACAACGACTTGAAAGATCCACATTTTATTTTTATTCAAATTCGTCATAATTTATCTAAATAAAATGAAAAGATTTCTGCACTAAAAATCATAAATAATGGACATTTAGAATAAGTATTATTACTGTAAAATACTTCTGCAGAAAAGTGAAAACTCAACCTGGGTTACTATTTTAGAACAGACCCAAAATAAATTCAACATTTACTTTTATGCTGCAAATGACAAGGACAAAAACAAAAGAAGTCTGCTGATAAAATAATCTTTTTGTCATCAATTCCTGGCAATGAAAGGCCAATTATGTGACATCCAGGATCGTTACCTATTTCCACTTGAAGTTCATAGTGGGAAACATTAATGGAACTTATGACTTCACTGGCTCCAGCAGATGGAGGTACCAAAGAAAGGGTGGGCTCATCGACCTATAGGTTTTTTAAAAGATAAAAAAAATTATATAAAAAATACACACCCCTTTTATGATTCCCCAACTAAAGATGAAACTCACTGCTTTGAGTCAGTTCCAGCTTATAGCCACCCTGCAGGATAGAGCAGAATTGCCCCCCACAGTTAACCTGGCTGCCAATCTTTAAAGAAGCAGACTGCCTGACAGTTTCAAACCCTCAACTTTCTGATTAGCAAATAAGTACTTTAACCACTGTGCCATGAGGGCTCCTCATGAGTTCCCACCCTACTTCAAAATACAATACAGATAGTGTATTTTCAGACAAGCATTTATTTATTAGGAAAGCATTCAAAGATAGTTTCCAAGATGGTTTTAAGATTGAAAAGGAATTTACTAATGGTTAATGATTGATGCTAGAAAGCCATTAACCTGTCAAGGGCAGAAGGACAGGAAAAGCAATTTACAGGTAGCAAGGAACACTGTCCAATACAATTTCCAGTAAGCATTTTTAAGAAGAGCTAAGAATGCTGAACGCTTGCTCATTATTCAGGGTACTGAGTAAATACATCAAAGAAGAGCTTCAGTGACCTATGAGGAACATTCTAAGCTTATATTCTTGCTTCAAGTGGTTTTACACACTTGCTTTTCTTGAGGAGGTGTTCAAGTTTGAGGAACAATTTCCACACTGCAGCATATTAAGATTGCTAAAGAAATTTTCCACAAAACTAAATAAACCAGATGGGAGCTCAGAAAGAAACAGATTCTAAACCAGTTAACAGTGTGAAACAATACTGCAGACACTTTTATACTACTGAGAATACAATGGCAGTGAATTAAGATGTACAGAGCAGAAAGAAGAGACTTAAATCATCAGTAATATGATAGCCATGAGGAGCTCACCATGGGCACCAGTGCCCCCAAAGGTCACTTAAGAGTTTTTATAGGCACCAACAGGTGGCAGGAATCTTGTTACTGCCTCCAAGGTAGGAAGATGGAAGAAGGGGAAGAAATGGCATTACTAAGTACTAGGAATTGTGCTAACTACTTTTCACATCCTTAGTCCTTTTTAAGGAGAGAGAAAAGGAGTTTCTCTCGGTGAAGGAGCACACATATGTTCCCTAAACATTTAAGAAGGCAGGGGAAAAAAAACATGATCATGAGTCAACAGGAAAGAACTTAAATGGATGATTGCTCAAGAGTCATGAAAGATCATAAAAACTGTACTATAAAATTGAAAACAATCCCAGGAAAGAAAAAAAAAAATCTAAAATCAACTTCTTTGGCACAGGGAGTCTTCGGATAAACTCTGACTTAAAGATCATGTCTCAAAACTAGAAGGAAGAGGACTGTCCACACATTGTTACACTGTACATAGAAAGGCAGTCCAACCTTAGAAGCTTTAAGTACCTTGGCTAAAAAAAAAAAACAAACACAGAACAATCAACCAAAATCAGCTCTTAGGTGGAGAAAATACCCATCAAATTTCCTCAAACATATGTCTTTAAACTTTGATTTGTCTTCCCTGTTCTGATTTCATGATCACTAAGTAGGTGGTCATTTGATGCCAGTGAAGGTCAATTTACAGCAAAAGAAAGTACTGTGATGTGAATTTCAAGTACTTTGATACCTGGCATTAGTTCTCTTTCCATTAGTAATGGATTCTAATTAGGATTTGGTTTCCTGTAGAACCTTCACTGCAGGAAAAGAACAGATTGATGGTGTATTCTGCGGACATGCTATCCTGTGCCATTAAAGGCTTATCCATTAGTATAATGAACTTGCTTCATATGCATCTCATGCTGAGATAGAGACTCACTTTCGGCTTGCTGACAAGAACCAGTTTCTAATGCTGAAAAATCTGAGAAACAGACACCCAGAATCATAGTTCCATAACCAAGGCAGTAAGTGGTGCTTTGGGAGAAATCTTACTGAGCTGAGCTTTACCTTTTTGCTTTGACAGAGCCTTTGTAGCTGTGTGAATTTCTCAACTTTCAGAAATATTGTAGAAAGCATTCCTGCATGAGCAGGATCTAGGACTAAGCGGCTGTTAGGGAACTACTGCAATGCTAAAATGGCATTATTTAAAAGCAGCAGCTCAAGCCTCAATTAGTCTTTTCTAAGATTAATTATACAAAATGGAATTTTCTGTGGATCAGAGGCATTCCCAAACGCAAAACCTGTTAAACTGTTGCTGTTGAGTCAATTCCAATTCAGTAACCTCACAGGCAGAGTCAAACTGCTCCACAGATTTCCAAGGCTTTTCTGTAAATCTCTATGAAAGCTAACTGTCCCATCTTTCTCTTTCAAAGTGGCTGGTGGGTTTGGACCACTGACCTTTTAGTTTACAGTCAAATGCTTTAACTGCCACACTCCCATTAAAGTCACAGAAGCCATAATTCATAACAGAAGTCAAGACTGTCCTCTAAATATGACATTTTAATGTAAAATTCAAGCCTGTCTATAGGGGTCAGGTCAGTGGAGAATTGGTTATCAAAATAAAAGGCAACAAATGGTGTTTAAGTGGCTCGAGGAGAGCCAAGGAAGGGTTCTCTAACCACAACGGCCAGTTTCCAGCCTGGTGTCAACATTCACTACACAACGTCTCCAATTTATTTCTCCACTAGAGACTTCAAATATATTATAATCTGCTGTCCCCTTTTATGATTCTATTTAACTCCAATGACAGATAGACAGGAAAGATTTGGCTCCTTAAAATACAAAATGGATCTACCCGGGAGGTCTCAAGGATTCTAACAAACATGTAGAAATTTCTTGAGCTCTAGATCTCTCTCTTGGTAATAGCATAGAGATATTTCTGAACCCTACCTCAACCCCAAGACTAATACGTGAATGAAAACTAGGGTTGGGCACTATATCCTACCATACCAAAGGACAGACAACTAGAAGAGTCCAGGGCATTAGTGAATGAAAACTAAAGTAATAAGTGTTTGTTCTGTATTGTTGAGTTGGAAGTGATTAACAGATGACCATCTGACGGGTTTTTAGAGGCAGTTAATCACATGGGAAGGGACTGCCCATCTTTCTCCCTCGGAGCAGCTAATGAATTTGAACCACATGTCTTTGGGACTGCAGTGCAGCTTCTTAGACAAGGCCAGGATCAGCTGTTGTTGTTAGGGGCCATCAGGTAAACAACAACTTACATAGCAACACTAACCTTCACCATCCTCACAATCTCTGCTCATTGTTGCAGTCATAAGTAGAATAAACTGGGGTAATTTTATAACAAATAAAACACCTTCAAGGCCAGCTCTATTTTATTATATAAAGGATTAAAGTAAGGGAGAACATCAGCCAAGAATCAGTGACTCCCTAGCATGTTCCTTTAAAAATTACTTCATGATCACGATGGAGGGTTAGCGAATGAGAGGAACTCTCAACGACATGGGCTAACATAGTGACTGCAGCAGTGGGATCAAGTGTGCCAGAGATGACGAAGATGGCTGAGACGGCAGGGTTCAGGTTTGTTGTTTATAGGGTTGCTATGAGTCATACTCAATTCAATGGCACCAAACAACAGTATATATGAGGGATAGTTCAAGTGAGATAAAGATGAATATGGTAGGATGCCTACTTTCATGAGGATCATGTTATAGCTAGAGACATATATCAGTCATTGTGAAAGGATATAAATAATTTAAATGCCCTTTTACTTGGATGTCTAAGATAAGCTGGAACATAATGGAATAAAAGGTACAAAATAAAAGCCTTCACAGACGTGATATGTAAGCCAACTCTTAGAGGACGAAGAAAAATTTAAGAGACAGAAAAGGAAAACAAAATTTCAAGCAGGAGAGATTATGTGCAAAGACTGAGTAGCAAGAAACGAAATAAAAAAGTAGAACCAGAGAAGTGAGAAAAAAATGTTTTAAGTAATTTTGCAGCAATTAATAACAACAACATGCCACATACTAAGCCGTTCAGACTTTATGCCACAGGTTTAAGAACCCGATAGAGATGCTGAAACTAGAAAGTGACATTAGCAGACTTGTATAGATAATGGTGATGAAAACTGATCTGAGAGATAGGGGAAAGCTGTATGTATGTTCAGAGGTTTAGGGGAAATGAGTCTGCTGGCAACAGTCCAGGTGAAAGAAGGTAAGACTTGTATAGCAGCAGGGTCTTGAGAAGGAAGAAATGAATGAACAGCATTTCAAAGACTCCTAAATCTTGGTGTATAATCAGATCTTGGAGTAGAGGCACAGTGAGAGCACCTCAAAATTTACAGTTGTGGTAACAGTAGATGGGTTTTCATTAGTGGAAGCAGTGAATACAATGGGTTGGTATAGTTTACGGAATAAAAATTTTAATCAAATTAAAAAGAAATGCCTTTGAAAAACCCAATGAGAGGTATTCCAGACACATCTGATACCCAGGAAGGAGACTGGGAGAAAAGGCAAAATTTGAAAATCATTACTCCTAATGGTTCCCAGGCTGGACTGAAATAAACCCAGGGAAGCTCCATGAAAATATTAAATAAGAGAAATGAAAGCCATAGGAATACATGAAACGGCTTAGGGGAGGGTGGTGCAGGCAGAAGAGCCAACTGCAGACAGGAGGAGTATAAAGGAAGAAGAAACTGAAAATGACACTACAGAGAAATAAACAAGAGAACCAGGAGTGAATAGCAGTACAGAAAGCAACGGAGCAATGGTAACTGGACAGGACCATTTTCTTACCAAGTATTGATGGATACTGGTATCAGAGCGTTTTTCAGGTCTGAGTGATTCAACTCGTGTTCGTGAAGTGCAGAAACAATCCTGAAAATTCAGAAATGCATAAATGAGACTAAGTCACGGGGTAAGTATGGGAGGTATGTGGACACAAAAAGATCGGGTGACTGGTGTACAGAACAGAGAAATAAATGGCAGCATGCAGGTTCCTGGAATTACTATGCAATGCACTCCAAACAGGGCAGAAGGGAGAAGGAGTTGGGTGTGCATAAGCAAACTTCTTATCTGTCATAATTTTGTTTGATGCTATTTCGGATCTTAGCCCTTTCTCCTCTTTTTTTTGTCCCCAATTTCCCCCTTCTCTTCTTTTAAAGTCACATATCAACTCATTTTTACTGCTGATACTAATTTTTAAACTTCATGTCAACTTTGAGGGTTTTTTCCTGAGTATTTACCTAAATATAAAACTGCCGTACTCATGATAACAATTTTCACCTTGATCCTCACCAATTTTCTTCAGTGCGTCATTGTCGTTGAGTGCCATCAAGCTATGACTCATACTGACTCTATGTTCAACAGAACCAAACACCACCCTCACTGCTCCTGCGCTTGAACCCACTGTCACAGCCACTGGGTCACTTCACTGCACTAGATGTTTTAACCCTTTTCCACTGACCCCCTGCTTTCCCAACATTATATCTTCCTCCAGAGACTCCTGAGAACATATCTGAAGCACAGAAGGCAGTCTTGCCATCCTTACTTCTGAGAGCACTCTGAATGTACTTCTAAGACTGATTCTGACAGTCCGTGGCACAGTCAAACATGCTTCCCCAACATCACCATTCTAAGATACCAATTCGTCTTTGGTTTTCTACATTCACTGCCCAGTTTCATACAACGGCTCAGGTCTGACCTATGTTAGTCCTCAAAGTGACATTTTGCTTTTTAGCACTTTAAAAGGGGTCTCTTTGCAGCAGATTTTCCCATGGAATAATAAGATTTTATTTCTTTACTACTGCTTCCAAGGATATTGATTATGGATCTAAGTAAAATGGAATCCTTGACAACTTTTCTTCATTAATCATGATGTTGCTCATTGATCCAGTTGTGAAGTTATTTGTTTTCTTTATACCGAAATGTAATCGATACTGAAGGTTTTGGGGTTCATCAATAAGCATTTAAGTGCTCTTCACCTTCGGCAACCAAGGTTGTGTCATACGCAGCTAGGCATTCTTAATGAGTCTTCTCCAATCCTAATGTCACATTCTTCTGCATATACTCTAGCTTCTTGGACTATCTGCTTACCATACAGATTGAAAAAGTAGAGTGGAAAGATAAAACGTTGATATACATCTTTCTTGATTTTAAACTGTGGAGTGTCTCCCAAAACATTTAGTATTTGTAAACATTTTGCAACACCTACCTTTATTTTTTTTTTAAATTTCTAACATGGACACCATGGATATATAATAAAGAGCAAACAATATATCTATATGTTATTTTACACACTGATTCAATTGCTATTATTGGCTATTAATTTAAGGCATATGCTTTTAATACTATTTTGGTGCTTCTAGTATGGGAAATTTGTAAAAAGGGACTTCTGGAAAATTTAAAGAAGACTAAACTAATTGGATAGGGGGGCAGCATGCCTAGGTACAGCATATATATGAGAGGAAAAAAGATATAAAGCAATAGAATAATGAGTCTACCAGCAAAGCAAAGGAGAAGCTCTTTTGTTCTTTTTTACTGTTTATCATACTATTGCTTTTGTTAACTGGTTTGCACACAGTAATTCATATATACGGTGTTTCACTCATGTACACTGTGTTTTAGATAACCATTCATATGCATTGCATATTACTAATATTTTATAAAATGACTACTGATCTATGCCTATTATCACCCTTTCTTTTTGGGTCTCCATTGAATCCTTCCTATTGTTCCCCTCCAGTTCACCCACTAAACTCTGCTATCCTAATGGTTTTCCCCTTCCTCACTTTCTGTCCCCTTCCCCCTTTTGGGCATTATATGGACATCTTACTAGTTAGCCTTCTATTTTTACAAAAATGGCCTTATGCCATATTTGTCCTTAAGAGACTGACTTGAGTCCACTCAGCAAAATGTTCTCTTATGTTGTATAGGATTTTACAAAATCACTGTTTTTCAGCCTTGCATAGTATTCCGTTGTATGACTGGACCACAGTTTTTCAATCCATTTGTTTGTTTAATGGGCATTTGGGCTGTTTCCATTTTTTTTTCGTATTGTGAATAACACTGCTATGAACATATATGTACATATCTCTGTTTGTATCTCTGTTCTATTTTTCTTGGGTATATTCCTAGCAGTGGAATAGCTGGGTCATATGATATTTAGCTTTTTAAGGGAGAAGCACTTTTTGAAATAGCAAGTCTCAGTGAGAATTCACTTCTCTTGATATCATGGAGTTCAAAAAACTCCAACTCCGAGAACAAGATTATGCAATCAGAATAAGCCTATTATATGGTTCTGCATTAATATCTAACTATTCCAACACCACAAAAGTATACCCATGCTCACTAAAAACTTACCAATAGAGACATTGAATCACTTTAGTTCATAGAAAGTGGCAAAAATCCATCTATTCCAAAGTAGATCTTTATTTTTCTTTCAAGATGTAGAAACATCCCACTATAAGAAATAAGAACAATACTTAGATTTACATAAAAATTACTTGAAGAACTACTAGCTATAAACAGTAACTTTCACTCTCTGACTCATGGTGGTCCCAGGCACGTCAACGCAGAACCACGCTCTAGAGAATTTTCACTGGTTGATTTGTTGGAAGTTGATGACCAGGTCAGGGTTAGGGTTAGGGTTCTTTGTTCAGAGGCACCTCTGGGTGAATTCAAATGGTCCCTTTTTAAGCTAGCAGCCAAGTACATTAACCATTTTCACTATCTGCCTACTTAATAGTTGGGCAGCTATTCCTTAACATAATAGACACAATTCCTGAAAAGTTTCTTGAGAGAGATTTCTGGCTACTTAATACTTGGGATCTGACATCACAACAGAAGAGCAGAGTGAAGCTGAATGGGAGTTTTGAATGTTTCCAGAGTCTCAATATACTTTTATTTCTCCTTCCCTATACTGTCTATACTGCTTTTTTAAAAAAAATTAGGTAAGTAAATGTGATATAAAATATAAAGTAATATTTTATTTATGAAATATAGATACATATATATATTTCATAAAATGAAAGTAATATAAAAAGGCAATGCTAGACTCAGTTTTTAGACAAATGGTCTCAATTACACCTGAAGAATTTCCAGTGGTTCTACTTATAAGTAAACTTTGGAAAGTAATAAAGCTTTCTGATTACTTACCTATTAAATCATGAGAATCTCTGTCTAGCAAATTTGAGTCATTTCATGTTTCAATTCATTGTCACTGAGTCAGAGAAGACTCACAAATGACCCTCCAGGGGATTTTCAGAGACTGTAAACTGCATGGGATGAGACTCCCTATCTTTCTTCTTCAGAACAGCTAGTGGGTTTGAATAGCCTACCTTTCGGTTGGAAGTGCCACTGCTTATCCACTAGGCTATCAGAATCATGTTTAGGAAAAGATAAACACAATTTGTTACTTGTTTTCATGTGAAGAAAGAATTCTCTTTAGGTTCAATGTTTTTTACCTTATGATTAAAACGCTCAATTCTCTTCTTGGAATTTGTTAACAGAAGGCAAAGATAAGCCAGTCATTCTTGCTCACCCTCTTTTAAAAAAAACCAAACAAACCCAAACACACCACCACCTCATTGCCGTGGAGTTGGAACTGACTCATAACTGGTCCTCTGAGGGTTTTCTCAGGCTGCAAATCATACTGAAGGAGACTTCCCATCTTTTTCCTGAGAACTTTCCTTTATTGGTGGTGGTCTTAATCTCAAAAGTTTACAATCATAAGTTCTTCAGATTCTTCTCTATTTCTTCAGAACCACCAAACTTCTCCACACATTTAAAGGGTGGCAGGGTGTTAAATTCGCCAGTGCTGGATGTTCCCTTCCACTTAACCAGTATCACCTCTTTGGTCTAACTTGTGCTTCATTATTTTATTTTTTAAAAATTTTCCAAATTTGATCATGGTACCTGCAAATATCTGCCTAAAATGAAAAAAGGTAAAAAAAAAGATTTTATAAACCACTGGTGCTGTGTGCCTTTAGGCATGTATAATTCGTTACTAGAGCTCCCTTTACAAACCACAGGTATTAATTATACAACAATGTATAATTTTACTTCTGAGGAAATACATGGATTTATTCAGGAAGCTCATTATACATCAGACCCAGAGATGAGAAGGAAGTGTGGCCTGGGAGGTGAGTTGTGTCATCTGCTCTGCATCCTCCTTAATGGAAGGTGCACCCCAAAGTGGGGAAGTAACCTTTGCCCTAGTCATCGCTCAGGGTGGTTGAGATCAAAGTGTTCCTAACGACCAAGTATTGTACAACTATAAAGGCTCAACAGAAAGTGAGGAAAAGTATACTCAAATATTATGAGCAGTGGTATAAAATGGTAAAATTCATTGGACGGGCAAGTTGGCAGTGTTTCAATAACCATAAAAATGTTCTTTATCTTTTGACCTTGCAAAACTCTAGTGTCCTGTACACACACAGAAAATCATGACATTGTTGTCTGTAGTCCTTCCAAAGGTGTCTCCCTAGCACCTATCAGGGACTAGACACATTGCGGGGCACTGGGGCCCTCCACCCACGAGCAAGGACAGACTGAGGTCCTGTCTGCTGGTGGTTTACCTTCCCCATCAACAGACAGATTAGGGATGTTGCTGTTAATGGAGTTTTCTAGTTATCACGGTTTTGTAGCTCACTTGGTAAATTATTTCTTAATAAAATTTAAAATTCAATTTCATGCTCTCTTTTTCAGAAGAACGCAGAGGAGACCGAGACAGTCTGTGAGGTTTGTTTGTATTAAAGGTGTTGTTCCACTGGGATGGTTTAATCCCAGAGGTTTTAAGCATTTGATATGCCAAACGGTTAAGATTCAATTTCACAAGACATTTTGAGGTCATGGCAGCAGCTGTGCCTCTAAGACACTGCTGCACAGTGGCTTGCTGTCATTTTCCCCTGCGCACTGGCCCTGTGCATGAATATGTTGTTGTTATGTGCTGCACAGACTACAACCCACAGTGACCCTATGAACAGCAACTCTGAAACCTGCACTGTCCTCAGTCAGTCTCATGTCTCTGACACATCTGACCCCAGTGCCACAGTCAATGTGTCAATTTATTTTAGCCAGGGACTTCCTCTTCTGCAGTGACCTTCCACCTTCTCTAAAAACTAGCCCTCCAGGCAACATGCCCAAAATATGTGAGATGGGACTTCAAAATCCTTGCCTCCAATGCACAACCTGGTTTCATCCTCACTGTACCTAAAAAAACCCTATCATTTCTACTGTTTAGAGAAGTGGAGGGTAAATAAAAGAAAGACCATCAAAGAGGTGAATTTATACAATGACTGCAACAATGGGCTTAATTGTGGCAGAGATTGTGAAGATGACACACAATACAGCAATGTTACTGATCCATTGTTCACAGGGTTGCTATGAGTCAAGGCACACCAAGGCACCTAACAACATACTTCTGCATGGTTTTACATGTACCCCAGTGTGGCCTCTTGCCCTTATACCTAAAAACCTAATGATGACACTCAAAACCACAGCTATCAAATGGATTCCAACTCGTGGGGACCTTTTAGGAAGAAAGAAACTTGCCCAAGGAGCTTCCAAGGCTGTAAATCTTTATGAAAGCCAACTTCATTATCTTTCTCCTCCAGAGCTGCTGGTGGATTCGAACAGCTGACATTTTGGTTAGTTGTCTAATGATTAATTGGGCTCTTTGATGATGGCAAGGCAATTTAATCTGTTCGATAATGGAATGGTTGGTCTAAAGGCTCTAATCTGATAGGTTAAGCCTTTCTGTGGCTATGAAAGGGCAATCTACTTACAGAAGTTGAATTTTAAAGTTAAGCATCCAACAGGGATTGATAATACTGGAATGCGAAATAACTAATTCTTTGTTGAAGTTTAAAAGTACTGTAACTTTCAAAATGATCTTGGGGAGCCATTAAAAAAATTATAGCGTCACACAGCTCAGGAAAAATTTGGTAATGCGGTGACTAATGCGTTTGACATTTACTGAGTACCTACTGTGTGCTAGGAACAAATCCTCATCAGGTTTTAAGGGAAAATGTACTTGATATAACAAATCCACGAGGGGGGGAGGGGAGGAAACAACGCCGAACTTAAATACCCAGAGCAAAATGACTCTTGAGCATTTAGTTTTGTAGAAAGCTCCTTTCTAGACCGGCTTTTGAAGGACTCCGGAGAACTCAGGCAGCGGCACGGGATCTATAACCAGGAGGTGGGAAACTGCGCCCAGCCACCAGTGTGGTCAAAGGTTAGAGCTGGAAGGGGGGACTGGCGCCGCGGGCAGCTTGGCTGGCGCACCTGGCGCCTCAACCCTGTCGGGCACCGCCCACCGGCACGCAGGTGCCTCGGCACCCCTCCGGCCTGGGGGGCGGCCGATCGGGGCTCGGGCAGAGCCGAAGCCGAGCACAGGGGCGCTCGCCGCGCAGGGTGGGATTGCTGGTACCGCACCGAAACGCTGGGGCTCCAGCTCGAGGCGGGGCAGCGCATTCTGGCCTCTGGCAGCCCTGGGCGCGTGCGGAAGAACCGTGCACCCTCGGGTCCTAGACCAGCCTCCAGACCTTCCCCTCCCGGGACCAGCCTCCCCACATTACCCTGGCGGCGACCGCAGACAGCGACTCTCCTCGGGAGAACTGGCGGCACGGGGCCGGGGTGGGCGCGGGACCCCGGGAATCCGGGTTCCCGCCCCGCGGAGGGGCCTGGCGAGCGCCCTCGGCCCTCTCCCCGCGTGAGTCGTGCGGCACACGAGATCGTGGGGTACGACCTGGACAAGGGCCGGCGGCCTGGAACTCTGCCCCAGTCCCAGGCAGCCCGCAGGGACTGGACTCGCCCCACCCGCCCAGGGTCACGGCCCCGCCTGCCGCCTTAGAGCCGCGCCGCGAGGGGGCGTGGCCTTGGAGGGGAGAGGGCGGGGTGAGCGCGAAACTACTCGGGTCCATGAGTGGGTGGGGAAGGCAAACAGAAGACTACAATTCCCAGCAACTCTTGCGCCAGTGCAGTGGAGCTTGCTGGGAGAGTGGGTTCCATTCGTGCTTTCCCGATTGAGGGGGCTGCTAGTGACAGGGCGTAGCTGAAGAATCGCAGTCGCCGAATGATGATGTCTTGAAGTCACCCGCCAGTCTCTGCCGAGCCAGGGCGTTTACTGGCAGCGGCGGCAGCTTTGGCAGCGGCGGCAGCCCCGGCAGCTCCGGCTGCGGCTTCTCAAGCTGCCGCCTCCTTAGGGGCTTTTCCCTGAAGGAGCACCGGCAGAGGGCGGAGGACCGCGGCTCACTCGGTAAGTCATCTTCCTGTGCTCGACCCTAGTTGCCCTTGGGCAGCTTCACATAAAAGCTCGGCAGCCTCCCTGTCCCGCGCCTCTTCGTTCCTTAGAGGTCACGCTTAGAGAGTGAAGTCAGAGGCTGGGTACGGGAGGAATGAGTCCTTCTCCACCCCGGGATGGGGAAGTGGGTCATTTTCCAAGTGTGGGGGGGCAAT